ATAAAGGGTTGCCAAGGAGACAGGCTCAGGGCAGGAGGGAAGTGGGGAGGCCCCCTCGGCATTGGCTTCTCTGGGGGATAGTCTGGGTGTCCAGAGGGCTGGAAGCTCCGGGGTGAGCCTTCCTCTGTGACCAGGGTCTTTCTCTGTCCCTAGATTCCCATACCGATTGTGCCTACGTTCCAGCCCTCCACGCCTGTCCCTGAGCGCCTGGAAGCCGTGCAGCGCTACATCAGGGAGCTGCAGTATCCTCCCAGGTCCAGGGTCATGGCCACCGTCTGGCTGGCATGCTGGGGTCAAAGACTGAGTGGGGCTTGTTTTCAGATTGGGCTGGAGAGGTATCCACAGAGCAGCCTCACGCCACAGCTCCAGGGCCACCATTCACGTGGTATCTCTGCGCCCCTGGAGTTGTGCAAGCCCAGCCCGAGTCCTCCCAGGTACCGGAGGGACTTTGATGAGTGCCAGGCCCACTCTCTCCCACCCACTTCCATCTCCATGTGATGGGGCAAATGTCTCCTGAGCTACCTGCTGGTGGGTGGCCAAGTCTGGGTCCACCAGCCCAGACCTCCTCTGCTGTCCATCCATCCCAGCAGAAGGAGAGAAGGGAAGCTGCCTTGGGGAAGTTTAAAAACTAGTAGTTTTAAAGGCAGTGGGGGTCAGGGGTTGGGGGGGCAGATAGAGGAGAAAAAAGATTTTATACTCCAGGAGATAACATCCACATCTTGGGATGTTCTCCAGGTTCTTTACCTGTTTCTTCCCTGGCAGGGGACCAGTTGCCCAACAATGAAAGAGCTGGACCCCCTGAGCCCCAGATCGTACAGTGTCCCTGCTCTGGGCCCCTCTGCCTTCTACTCTCTGCCCTGCATGTCCTGGGTTCTCTCCCCCAGCCCTATTAGCTGCAGGTGAGGCAGAAATGGAAGGACCATGTCCTAAGCAGGAGAAAAGGCAGGCCGATTACTGAAATTCGGTTCCAGCCCTTCCTTTGTCAGTGCGGAAATTTCGGCCTGGAGAGGGGAAGAGCACCCGGCAGTTTAGCTGCAGTGGACACGCCCCCTCTTCCCCCCAGCTTTCTCCTCTTGGTTCATTTTGCTTCTCAGCTGTCAAGAGCTCAGCCACTTTCCCAGCCCTGGCTGACCTGGGTGCCTGCTCCATGGCGCCCTTCCTGGGAGGTAAGGCCAAGGGAGAGCAAGGGTGGAAGCCAGAGAGGACAGAGAGGGGCCATGTGGGGAAGGAGAACCACATGTACTGTGCCCTTCTCTCCCCTCCAGATGATCAGGTCTGGAGCATCTTCCCAGGTGCCTCTCAAGAATTATAGGGTCTGCCGCCAGCCTGCACTTTGGGGAGTGCTAGGCCCCAGGGTCTGGAGGATGGGTGGGGGAGGTGGGACACACCTCTTCCAGACCAAGCCAGAAAGCCCTTAACCAGCATCACAGGTACAATCACACAGGGACCCAGTTCTTTGAAATTAAGAAGAGCAGACCCCTCACAGGGTAAGTGTGGGCATGCACTATCCCTCTGCACCAAGGCTGACTGTGCTCCTCCCTGGGTTGGAGCCCCTCAGGGGGCCTTTGGGTGGGAGCTTGTGAGGCAGGCAGGGCCTCTCCCAAGGGAGCACGCCAGCAGGAGCAAGCATCCCCCTGCAGTGCCACATCTCCTTCACCGAGCACCACAAGGGCCCTGGGATGCCATGAAGAACTCTGGCTGAGATGAACACCAGGGCTCCCATGCTGGGCTGGCAGGGTGACAGGCAGCCCCCAGCTTGCCTTGGTAATAACAGGGTGGTCCCAGGTAGAAGTCTGTGCATAAGCCTTATTTATTTATTTTTTTAATGAGAGGCGAGCCTAGCAGGAGAGAGCTCTTCCCATTGCAGGCAACCTGTGCGTCACCCCATTTGCCTTACTGGACTCTCTTCTGCTCATTTAGTACAAGGCCAGTGTCTCAGCAACAGGGACCCCACTGCATCTCTCACTTCTTAGTCTACCATCAGATGGGTAGACTCCTGGCTGGCTTGGCCCTGCAGAAGCCCCAGAGCAAAGGAGAGTGAGGAGTGAATGTTGCTTCCTCACTGGGTCTGGGGGCTCAGCCCAACGCTGTCCACAGACTTCAAGCGCTGTATTTTAAAAATTAATGTGGCTTGTACATCTTGCTCCACACATAATCTGTCCATGTTTGCTTTCTTGCGAAGAATGCTTTAAGTGGTATATTAGCTAAGTTACTTAATTACCCTCTCCGAGCCCCTGGTGGAATCCAGCCTTCCTCACCCTAAAAGCTCTCATGTTGTCCTGTGGGTGCTGTGTGACGGGCCCAGCTCCAGCCTCAGTGGGTGGAGGAGTCCAGCACCCTCCTGGGCAAAGCCAGGGGCCAGGCTGCATTCCTAGACCTGGAGGCAGCGCTCAGAGAGGAAGGAAGAACCAGGCCTCAGGAACAGGCTTTCTTAAAGTGGCCTGAATGGGGAGTTGCCGGGCTAGCTGCCTGAGATGCCGCGTCCAGGACTCGGGCAGCTGGCCAGCTGTGGGGGAGCAGTTGCAATCAGTTATAAGCCCTTTGGAGACACCATGGTTGGATCAGGGCATCTGCTGTGCTTCAGAAGAGACAGGATCAATGCGACAGTTCCCAGCATCCCTGGCATGCTTTCCCACCGCCCGCACCACCATGGCAGAAGGCCCCCAGCTCAGTAGCTGTCAAAGAGCCGCCTGTGACTGTGTGCTCCCCATTCATGCTCCCCGCCCCCAGAGGTCAGGGGCCTGGGGTGGGAGGAGGAAGTGAAAGGAGGGAAGGGAAGGAGTCTCCTTCCTTATCTTTAGTTGGCTGCCTCTTTTCCCACCCTCTCTGGCTCAAGATGGACATGGGGGAGGGAAGGGAGGTGCTGGGGCTGAGCTGAGGCAGCTTGGAAGGGAGATAGGTCTCTGTTCTTCTGGCATTTCTAATCCACCTGCCCCCTCCTGACACTCCCCCACTGGAAAGGGCTAGAGGCTCTGTCCTCATGTCTCTGCCTCCCTGCCCCCACCCCCACCCCATTCCAGGCTGATGGACCTGGCCAAGGAAATGACCAAAGAGGCTCTGCCAATCAAATGCCTGGAAGCCGTGATCCTGGGAATGTATCCTTCCTCAGCCCTGGGAGGCCTGGGGGGAGGGAGAGCAGGCATGTGCTCCGCCCCTCTGGGCCCCAGCTTCCTCCTCTGCAAGGGGAGGGTTGAATGGGCTCCAGGGACCTCCCGGCTCTCTCTCCCAGCAGTCATGAACTTGGCTTCAAGGTGCAGGGGCTTGAGGGGTCTCAATCCCCCATGCCTCAGTTGCTAACTCCCCATATTTACTGGGAAGCTCTTTTTTGAGTCATGTGGATATAGTGACCCTGTTCTCTGAACCCCAAATCAGGGCACATTGTCTCACAAAGGCTGCTGTGCCGTTTCCAAGAACCAAACGGTCTGAGAAAAGCAGGTTGAATGCCCAAATGTTGGCATTTCCAGGACATGATGATTTGTGGAGATGACGTTTGGGATCTTTGAAACAGAGCTGCCTGCCTTAAAAAAAATAAAAAGCAAACTGTTTATCAGTCACTCCCACCCAAAGGGCAGAACTGGGACCTATAGCTGGGCCACAAGGTGGGCAGACAAGCCCCCAGTTCGGGCAGGGTGTGGAGGCAGGTGTATATGGCCAGTTCTCTGACCTGATTGGTTCTTGCCAGAGCCATGCCCCTTTTTGTTGTTTTGTTTTACTATAGAAAAATTTAATCTGGTATGAACATAGAGCAATATAATAAATCTCATATGCCCAGCACTCAGTTTATCAGTTCAAGGCCAATCTTGATTCATCTCTGTATCTCACACATCTCCCCCTTCCCCATAGCACCATAGGCTTTTAAATAATTCTGTGTGCCACCTCGGGGGCGGGCACCTGGCTCAGTGCGCAAGGAGGACAGAGGGTGTCCAGCAGAACAGGGAGTCCACTCGCTAGAATAGGTCGGGGAGAAGATGGTCAAGGGGAGGACTGTAGTCCAAGGGGGCCACTCCCCCACAGACATGACTGCGGGAGTGGGGGCTAGTGCCCCTCCCCCTGAGGTCCCAAGCGCTAACTCTTCTGTGGCGGTCGTTTCCTATTTCCCAGAGCCTGACACGCATTGCCCTGGCTAAAGGGTCCTTTGCAGATACGAGCACAAGGCCAGCCTGAGAACTTTAGGCCACTGCCAGCACCTTCGTATTGCTTCTCCTTCAGTATCACACACCAAAGTGGGGCTCCCACCCATATTGAATGAGGGAGACACCTCCCCTCCCCCCAGACCCACAGAAGCTGGTCCACACAGGGTCATGTCATCTCAGAGGCCTTTCATGGGTTACCTGGTGGCTTGTGGGCAGGAAGAAAACAGGAAAACCCTTCATCTGGGCAGAGGACCTCCCCAGTGTCTCCACAGTGAATCCCTTAGTCACTGCACACCTGGTGGCCAATGGACTGAGTTTGTCCCTGTGCCTCACCCTCTGCTCTCTAAACCTGTGCCTTGCTCATCTCTGTGTCCTTGGTGACTTGCAAGGGATCTGCTCAGTAAGGACTGTAATGACAGAGCATAGACTTTAGGATCCCAAATTCTAATCCTGCCACCTGTTTACTGTGTGACCCCTAGCAAGTTCCTTAACATCTCTGAGCCTCGACAGCTTCCTTTGCAAAAGGAGACGATGGTAGTACCTGTCTGACATGTTGCTAAGACAATTGAATGAGTGGGTACATGTAGGACACTTGGCGCCTGTACACAGTATCTACGCGAAGCTTTCACCTCATTCATCTTCTACCCATTCATTCAAGAAGAGTTTTATTGAGTAACTATTATGTGCCTGCCTTCAGGCTGGGCCCCAGAGATACAGCAAAGAAAATGACAGACAAGGTCCCCTTTCTCAGAAGTGTATAATCCAGCCAGGGAGACAGAAAATAAGCAAGTAAACAAGGAAAATAATTACAGATTGTGGGGAGTGTGCCTTGGGGAAAGGGAGGTCAGTGATGACGGCCACGCCTAAGGCATGAGGAGGAGCCAGTCGAGGGCTGGCAGGGAGCAGCCCTCTGGGAAAAGCTAGTGCAGAAGGTGGGAAATCCAGGTGGGTGGAGAGGTTGAGGCAGTGGGGTGAGGGAGGGAGGAGGCTGGAGTGAGCCGCTGGGCCTGGCGGCATTGGCCTCCTATGCCGTGGGAACAGGCTGGGTTTATTTGCAGGGCAATGGGCAGTAAGGGGGGAGGGGGGGAGTGAAAGAACAGAATTGTCTGCATCTGTGAGAAAATGTATGCGTGAGAGAGAAAGACAATGGGAGAACAAATGGCCTGCGAGAGAATGTAGGGGTGAGGGGAAATGTGTGTGTGCCTGACGGAAGGAGGGAGGGAGAAGGGGGGCAGTGGTTGCAGCCAGCAGGCCTCTCTCATGCCTCCTCCAGCTACAAGGACTTTGGAGAGCCCTGCGGTGTGGAGTGAAGGACTCACTATTAGCAGTTATTTTGTGAGCCGTGCTTGACATCATAGCAGCCGCCACTAATCACTAGGACCCTGCCCCCTAGAGATGCAGTTTATTGAGCACTTGCTATATGCCAGGCTCAAGGTTAGACAACAGGATATGGTGGTGAGCAAGGCATGGCATTAGGGGCCTAGGGGCCCTCATACCGACTGTTCCCTGGGGTGGGGGGCATTCAGTCCCAATCCTGCCCCTGCGCGCTGGCCCTGCCCTGCTCCCTGGCTGCTTCCTTAGCTGAGCCGACATGGCCAGTTACCTCACCAACAGCATGCCCACCCTGGAACGCTTCCCCATCAGCTTCAAGAGCTACTTCTCAGGGAACTACTTCCGCCACATTGTGCTGGGGGTGAACTTCGGGGGCCGCTACGGGGCCCTGGGCATGAGCCGGCGTGAGGACCTGATGTACAAGCCCCCGGCCTTCCGCACGCTCAGCGACCTAGTGCTGGACTACGAGGCCGCCTACGGCCGCTGCTGGCATGTGCTGAAGAAAGTGAAGCTGGGCCAGTGCGTGTCCCATGACCCGCACAGTGTGGAGCAGATCGAGTGGAAACACTCGGTCCTGGACGTGGACAGGCTGGGCCGTGAGGACTTCCGCAAGGAGCTGGAGCGACATGCCCGCGACATGCGGCTCAAGGTCAGTGCGGGCGGGCCTTGGCCCTGCGCAAAAGGCCCCCTTCCCCGGGGTGGAAATAAAAGGGCTGCCGCTTCCTAGTGGGACACTCCTACAGGGAATGCCACCTTCCTCACCCTCATTGCCACCCCAGCAGAGGTGGTTCAAGGAGATGGTGGCTGGGAAGTTTCAGCAGTGTCTTTGCTCAGAGATCACTATTGTTGAGACAGTCCCCTCAGGTGGGCAGGCCAAGGAAGGCTCCAAAAGGAGGCAGCAAGTGAGCTGGGTTTGGGGAGAGGGCGGGCCTTGAACACTTGAAGGGCCAGCACGACACTCCAGGTGGAGGGTAGAGATCTGTGAGTAAAGATCCACTGGTGGGAAGTCACAGCCTGTCTGGAAGGAATGGTGGGGTTGGGTGCAAGTGGCCTCCATCACCCCCTGTGCATCCTGACTCTTGACCCCTAGACACCCCCCTCCAATAAAGGACTAGAAGGAAGTCAGTAAAAGGAAGTCAGACCCTGGGAAGACAATGAGATGGTTCCCATCCCAGTGAACAGGGGTGGGAGGGGCTGCTGCCCCTGAGCAGCTGGTTTCAGCTGTTGAGGAGTTTGCCCCCACCCCCCCCAGCTTTACAGTAGGCAGAACCCTGGACTGAGGGTGCCTCCCCTGGGGTCTTCCAGGCCCTCCCTGGGTGTTCAGCCCCTCCCCATTGCTCAGTCAGTGCTGTGCTGTGACTGTCCCTCGTGGTAGCCTCATACCGAAACCATGACCTTAGTACTTTCACATCCACTGATGCTCCCCACAGTCCTGCCCCTGGACGCCCTGCCCTGCCAGCCCCTAGGCCATGACCGTATGGGGTGAAAGCACCTTCCCCCAGGACAGAAGCTGGCTGCAGCAGGCCTGCCACTTTCAGGGGCCGCTCTCCTCTGCTGTGAGCTGGCCCCCCCTCTGTAGTTCTAGTTGCCAGTATTTTGCATCTTCAAGGGAACAATTTGAACCTAGAGTTGAAACCAATGGTTACCTAGTCTTTAGTGCTATGATTTTCTATCTCTTTAGTGCTAGGGACTCCCCACATTATTTGCCCCTCTCCAGCATCCCCACAGTGTACCCCATGTTTTCAAAATTCAGATCAAGCTGACTGCTGCATAAAGGGTAATTCATTTGCTTTTCTCAATTGTTTCTTAATAGCTACCAGTCTGAGCTTCTGATTGGCTAGAGAGAACCAGTGTCACCCTTGGGGCTGGTAGGATCCCAGCCCACAGCTCAGACATGGCACAACTGCCAGCATGAGTAAATGGCCCTTTTCTCGAGGGCCTCTTAGAATATCACAAAGGCTTGTGACGTCCTCCCACATCCACACTATTTTAGGGGCCAAGTGGGATTGAGCAGCCCTGCTGAGGAACCCCTGCCCTGGCAGTTTTAGTGCCTGGGAAACAGGTTGGGGAAGACCTGGAGACAGGGCAGAGTGGTTACTTAAGCTTCCTGGGTCCTGCCAAGTGCAACCAGGACATGTGGCTCCTACAGAGCAGGACAGCTCTGTGGCTCTGCAGCAGCCCTAGAGGGTGGCCCTGGAGTGAGACTTTGTTTTTTTCTCCCCACCAAGATTGGCAAAGGGACCGGCCCTCCCTCCCCCACCAAGGACCGGAAGAAGGATGTGTCTTCCCCACAGCGGAGCCAGTCCAGCCCCCACCGCAGGAACAGCCGCAGTGAAAGGCGGTGAGTGATGGGTCAAGCCTGGGGGCTAGAAGAACGCTTTCATTTCTAGATCTCCGCTTTTTTTCACCCCACTTTTCTCATTCCCACTGCTCTCTTTTGCTCCCGCTGGAGGGAGGTGATACGGGATGGCAGACTTGTGTGTTTATGTGTTGACACCTTGCAACAGCAATGCGGTCCCATTTCCCCAGAGAAAGCGATACTCACTGACCCACAGGTTGCCCTGGTGCCAGGCAAAAGGTCTGAGGCCAGCTTCTGTGGGAGGGAGAAGAGGAGGGATGAAGAGGGATAGGCCCCTGCCAGACAGTGAGTTCTCCCAGACAGTGCAGGAATCTCGTTGGGAAAGGCGTGATCATTAGGTGGCAGCTGGTAGACTGCTTTGAACATAACTTTTGCCCCTGCAAGTCTGTGGTTTTGTTCTCTATCTAGATGGCAGAAACATCCCATTAAAATGTCAGGCCACCACCTCTGATTTGTCTCCTACCTGTCAGTCTGGTTCTCGCTTTCAATATCCTTGTCATTCAGGAGCCACCTCTCTGGCGTGCTTTAGGGGCACCAAGTAGGCTTCCAATGTCCAGCATCATTCACTTTGATCTGGGAGGATTATGTAGAGAACGGGGTCCCTTCACAGAGGTTTAAACATGAAACCTTTGCAGGCAACTGCAGCCAGGTTACTGACCTCTGGCAAACAGCAGGAGTCTGTAAGAGAGTACAGGGACCACTCAGGACAGCACAGCCAGGCTGGGATTCCAGAAATACACTTCCACAGAGCCTCTACTGCTGCCTTCTGAAACCTTGAAGAATGGGAGTGGGGGAGACACCGGGGGAAGCCTCCGCTTGCTCCCTCCGCCTCCGCCTCCCTGATGGACCACTCACCCCTCTCCCTCCTCTGCTCTCTCCTCTCTGCAGGCCTTCGGGTGAGAAGAAGCCTTCCGAGCCCAAAGCCATGCCAGACCTCAATGGGTACCAGATCCGGGTGTGAGGCAGGTGGCAGCGCCCCAGACTCGCCCACTTCTGGGGGCCAGGATCACCTGCCAGAAGCAGCCTGGCTCATGGGGAAGGAAGGACTGGTGATGGGGCAGGTGAGGGCAGCAGGAACAGTGTTCCAGCTCAGCCACCAAGCTGCTGCCCCTCCCACTGGGCCAAGCCTCCTAACATTGGGCCCCGAGGCAGTTAGTATTTTATTTGGAGTTTTTAACTTGACAACTAAAGTTTACGGTATTTGGGAAAAACTAAAAATGTAATGGATCTGCCAACGGCTGGCAGGCCTATGCTTAGGAGAACTAACTGCCATACAGCTGGGTGAGGAGGGGTTGCTGGTTCCCCTGCCCCTGGCGACTCTGGGATTTGGGTCCATCCCATGTATGGGAAATCTCCCAGCCCACTAGGCCTGTGGCAAGACGGCAGAGGGGTGGAGGTGTTTCTCCACTTCCACCTGCCCTAGCAGCATCTTGACACAGGGAAAAGGAAGCAGGGTAGGAAGCATCCTGGGAGAGGTCTGTGTGATCCGTATCAGGAGCTTGACACAAGTGACATTTTCCCCAAGGGTGGGAGTCCATGGCCCAGGAGAGCCTTCATGCCCTTGCAGCCCCATGAACAGATGGTGTTGTGTAGACTAGCACGCCCCCTGCTGGGGGAAGAGTTCCCTCTTGCTCAGCCCAGCTCCACCTCTTGCTGAAGCTATGGATCCCAGCAGAGGGGCTGGGCTTTGCCAAGGGTCCAGATTTGCACTGGGCTCAGCATGATTATGGGGCTTAAGCAGAGCTGATGGGTCCAGGAACTATGGCTGGGGACAGGGTGGTACACTCAGGCTTGGGTCTGTCCCTTGGAAATCCCCAGGGGTGGGCACTGCTTCTCCCCACCTTTCTATTACCTCAGCCCTTGCTGGGGAAGTGAAGACCAGGCCAGAATGCTTGCGCCCCAGGCCCACCTCCCATCATTTAGCAGTCTATTTAGGTTTGGGGGTCCCAGTGATGATCAGGCCTATTGTCAGGGAAGAACCTGAACAGCCAGAGTCTGCACAGCCTTCCCGTCTGGCATGAGAGAACTGGCAGGCAGGTGAGAGGTTGTAGAAAGAGGTTGATGGGGTTGAGGGAAGGTTCTAGAAATTTAAGCAACAAGGAGGTGTAGGGCAAGGGTGCATTGTGGCCCCCAAGGAGGGGCAGAGCCTGAGAACTGAGGGGTGTAAGTGACGAAAGGATGTGGAGGAGAATATAGAGTCAGGCTGCCTTGGGGAGTAGTGAGTTCCCTAATGCTGGAGGTATTCAAGCAACGACTAGATGGCTACTTGTCAGGAAGCTGTTGAGAGGATTCAGGTTATGGATGGGTAGCTGGATGACAGCACCATTAAGGTTTCTGTTAACTGAGAGGCTATGATTCAGCCAGGGGCCGCTGTTAGTAAGGCTGCAGAGGGGCTGGGAGCCTGAAAAAGGGAGGATCAGAACTAGAGTTGTAACCTCAAATGCCTTGCAGGGCCAGGCAGGTGATAAAAAAGAGGACTGCAGGGCTGGATGGGGACTGTGGCAAACTAAAGAGGGCATATACCCCATTAAAGCAGCTGCTACTGCTCAGAGTGCAGGCTCTGCATTGCCACATTTTCTGATTTTATCAAGAGGCCAGAACTCTGAATTTTTATGTGAAATATACTGAATTTTAAATGTCGGCAATCAATTCAGGAAATTTTAAAAACCAACATGAAAGAGAAAGCCTGTTTGCCATCTCTGAAGTAGAGAGAGCTTGTGCTGGGGAGAAGTCCAGTGACATGCTTTGAGGTGGGAAGTATGAAAGTTCTGGGCTTCCCAGGGCAGGCTGGGCCAGGCCAGGGGCCTCGCTGCTCAGGCTCCCGGAGTGGGCAGCCGTCCCATGATCATCTTCCTCACTCTCCCTGCAGACTAGAGACCCTGTGGTTGCTGGGTCACCAGAGGGGGTAGAGTGGAGTAGAGAGAGTGCAACTCTCAGCCTACCCTATGGTGCCCAGGAAGGAAAGAAAGAGGAAGGGAGGAAGGACAGGTTTTCTTTGCTGACGTAGCTGCCATTAAGGAAGGCACCAGGGGCTGGCAGCTTCTCAAACCAGCAGCTCTTAGCCCAGAGCCAGGCCCAGCAGCGAGGCCAGCTGGTCAGTCCCTTGGGTTCCTCATGGGTTACTGGTCCCTCGGGAGGTACTTAACCTGCCCCTGGGCTATACCCCAGCCAGAACAATCCGAGGGTCATTGTGACCCTAGACTCACCGTCCATCCCAGCTTCCAAGGAGTGGGGTGATGGTCCTAATGTTGCCACATTCACCTGAGACACAGATGGCTCACTTTTGGGAGGCATGGGGCTGGAAATGAGGCCATTTCTGGGTCTGGATGTGAGTGCCTTGTGCAGGCTGCTCAGCAGGGAAGTGGCCCCAGCCTCCCCCTTCCCCCC